CTTGTTTATGTGTTTTCTCATTTCCACTGGAGGGGGTCGTGCTTCTGGCACCAATGCGGCTCACCTTCTCTGCCCTAGGAGCTTGGGATGGCAGCGGGGGAGCTTCCTTCTGGGTGCTGGGACTGGCTGAGCTTCTCTGCCCTAGGAGCCTGGGATAGAGGCGGGGAGCTTCCTTCCGCGTCTGGCCGGGAATACTTATCCATGGTCAGGGAGTATTTGGCTTCAATATTGTTCAAAGTTTGAATGTTCCTGCAACTTTTAACATTCCAAAATAAAAATATTGTAGGATATGTATGAGCAAGAGGGACATAAGGAAGGAAAACCCCGAAGCTGAAAGGATGCCACAGGAAGAAAACAAACAACAAACAAACCCTAGTTATTTTCTCAGGACAAATGGTCTTGAGAGATAATGTTCAATTTGGCCATTGAATGGACTGGGAATCTATTGGCCAATGAAAGTGGATAATTTGGGTGATTATAGCACATCCATCAACTGTGCAGAAATCAGGAAAATGCCTAAATAATTATAACAAAAATGAGATGGTAACATCTTCTTTTACTTTTGGATACAGAGCCCAAAGTGCTGGTTTTTGAACTTGGAGTTGAACAAAGTTTAAGAATGAGAAATCATTGTTTTACTTTCTTTACATGGAGAGCAGTTTTGATCAAATGTACAAAAGTCAAATTTCTTGAACTAAATAAATAAAATTAACCTCCTTTTCTTTTTTCCTCCTTATCTTTAATTACAGTTTCCTTCTACAATATTGAAATGAGCTTCTCTGTCTTTGATGAAGAGTCAAGGGTCCCTATTACCAGTGTTATACACGAATTTGTGAAAAATTGGGTAAAATACTATTTTGAATATTTATGGTACATGTAAATATATGTGACAAACACTGAGTAGCTTGAAACTAAACCTTACTTTCCTTTTACTGATAATCCATTTCACAAATAACTAATTTTGATTTTTTTCACTGCAAATCTATCTGTAAGCAACACTGGGAGGATCTATGCAAACTCTCCTTCACAGTGCCAATGTTGAGAGCTTTTATGAAATGTTATTTTCATTTGTTTAGATCTGTACATTTCTCTCCATTGACATAAATTGTGAGTCTTTGCTCAATTTTCCTATTTGGGGAAAATAGAAGAGCAATGATAACATCTATGTCACTGTATTTAAGTATCTTTGCCTTCTGCATTTAAACTTTTCTCTCTTTCCAACAAAATGAGTATTTTATTTATCCTTATGTTTCTTTCTGATAATAAGACTAATATATACATTCCATAAAAATTCAGATGCTGACATCTAAAACTCTTTTTTTGTGGTGCTGGGGATTGACCTCAGGTCTTTGTGCATGTTAGGCAGGTGATTTACTGCTGAGCTACATCTTCAGCCCTTAACCATGAATCTTTGAGCATATTCATAGTGGTAAATATAGATCATGCCTCATATATTTTAACAGATGCATAGGATTTCACTATATGGTTGTAACATAGTGTTTTGAGTTTTTTCAAATTTAGACATCCACTGGTAGACATTTAGTTTGCTTCTATTTTAAAACAATTCTGAAAATAGTGCCCTTACAATAAATTTAGGGGCACTTCTTGAGTATTTCTATAGGATAAATTCTTAGAATAGGAATTGCTGGATCAAAAGTTATAAAAGTTTTACATTTTGAATATCTCAATATTATGCTAGGTGAAAGCATACAGACTTAAAAATCATATATTATATTATTGTTAATAGAATATATCCTAGAATGGACAGATCCACAGAAATGGAAAGCAGGTCAGTGGTTATTAGGGAATAGGAGTGGGATGGGGAGAAATTACTTAATGGGTATGGGATATTTTATGAGATATGAAAAAGCCTGAAAGTAAAGAGAAGCGGTAGGCGCACAACATTGTAAGTACACTAAGTGTCACTGAAGTATAGACATCAAGATTAATTTTACGTTATGTGAATTTCACCTCAAAGAAAAACAGGAAAATAGCATTATCATTAAATGGTCTCCCAGAGAAGATTACCAACTTACACCTTTCATCTAACAGTGAATGATCATATTGGTTTCCTCTCTCCCCATCAGTACTTATTTTCACGTATATGAAACATGATTATAAGTGCTCAAAAATGCATGAGTATATCAGTCTGCTCGGGCTGCCTTACAAAGATATCCCAGTCTGGGTGGCTTGATCAACAGACATTTATTTTCCCACAGTTCTGGTAGGTAGAAATCCAGGATAAAGATGCTGGCAGGGTTGGATTTCTGATGAGATCTCTCTCCTTGGCTTGCATATGGCCACCTTTTCATTGTGTACTCATGTGGTATTTCTCTGCATATGCATCTCTGGTCTTCTCTTATAAGAACACTAGTTGTATTGAATTAGGGCTGTAGCTGTATGGTCTCATTTAATTTTAATTACCTCCCTAATGACCCTATCACCCAAATACAATCAGATTGTAGGTTAGAGCATCAATATTACAATTTGGGGGGGGAAATAGTTCAGCCTATAGCAATGGGCAAAATATAAACTGAAACACAGAGTGGAACACCGAAATGTTGAGCCAGCTGAAATAATGAATGCTGTTTAATGACCATATTGTCCCAGGTGACTTTGGTTAAAATAGAAGAGTGGGAATATGGAAATTGATTTTCTTTTTTCTTTTCTTTTGCAGTTGAATTTTATATTTGAGGACAGTGAATTTTGTCTTGCTAATCTAGCTGTCCAAGTTAAAAGCAGGTATGTGAATAACATCTTGTATGGGTTGAAGGGCAATTTGAGGGTATTCCAGGTCCCTTCCTATCCAGAGGAGATTTCCTTTCTTTATGCCTGAGATTTACGGATTGCCACACTTGTAGCTGCACCTTCTTTTCTGAGTATAAATTCACTTTGGAATGAGGAAGAGATTTGTGTTATTACTGTAGGGCATCAAGCCAATGGAAGGGAAAAGAAAAGGAAAGAGGAAGCAGTGAAATTAGACTGAGTTATCTCTAATGCTTTTTTAATTTCTAAAGTTTCATAATTCTGTGACTTTAAAAAAATCATGCCCTAGCTGGGGGTGGTGCCATGTGTTTGTAATCCCAGTACTCTGGGAGGCTGAGGCAGGAGAATCAATCGAAAGTTCTAGCCCAGCCTGGGCAATTTAGTGAGATCTTGTCTCAAAATTTTAAAAAATAATAGAGAATTGGGGAATGTAAGTCAGTGTGAAGGCTCTGGGTTCAATCTCCAGTACTGCAGGGGGGGCATACTTTTAAGGGACAGAATGCTATAGATGGCCAATGCATGAGGATTTATAGAACCTTTTATTTTTGAACAATGCACTTTTGGGAATTGGAAACTCCAAAGGGAACTTGAAATGTTTAATGTGAGGAATGTCAACTACTCCAAGACTTGCTTGGGACACACATTTTGAGAGGTGATTGCAGTGAAATGGGTAAGCCCCGAGTAGTATCTTGTAAAGCAGGGCAAAGACAATTGGTTACCTAAGAAATACTTCCTCTGCTCTTGCCTGCACATATACTGAAGTCCATTTTCTTGTTTTGGCCTTACATGGCAAAAGCAAAAACAAAAAACAAAAACCAGAGAGGAAGCTTTCCTGTTTCTACTAATAAGGGTACTAATACCATTCACAAAGGCTTCACTGTCATGACCCAATTACCTACCAAAGGCCACACCTTCTACTGTCATCTCCTTGGGGATTAGGCTTCAGCATAGGAATTCTGAGTGGACACAAAAATTCAGTCCACAACACATATTAAAAGAAAATTTGAGATATGCGGGGTGTACAATATTCTCTTTAAAATTGTCCATTGTTTTTACTAATGGCAGCAACAATTGTAAAATCTTAGAGCTTTACAGAAATATAAGACATGGATAGGGAAAAAGTCTCTGAAAATGTACCTTTCCCAGCCCTTCAAGGATTCCGGTATAGGGCTGGGGATGTGACTCAGTGGTGGAACCCTTGGCTAGCATTGTGAGGCCCTGGGTTCAATCTCTAGCCCCACAAATGTCTCCTGTGATAGCTTGTTTTACATACTCCTCTAGATTTTTTTCATGCATTTATTAAGAGAATGGGATTCTACTCTATATACTGTTTAACAGTATATAAATTATAAAGCTCTTGGTTTATAATCATATACATCTTTTTAGGCCAATACATATAAATCCAGCTCACTAATTTTAATTGTAAATACTCATTTTTACAGCTATGATATGATATATTTATTCAATTATCTAGTGAGCAATTATCAAGAGTAATTTCTACTCTTGGATATGTATTTTTATGCAACCTTGCTATCATTATGAGACAGATTCCTGGAAATAGAATTCCTGAGTCAAAGGCTTACCATCATTTTGGTATCCAAATAATGACTGAGCTGATTTCAAGGGTCCAGTTGGAGTCCCAGCAATATTTGAATTTCAATTCTACTGTTTTGCTTCAGTTTTTATCCTGGTCTTGTATCCTGTATATTTGGAACTATGTTTCATTTTTATATAATTTTGTGATGCTTTTGATACAGAGACACTTCTAAGGAAGAAATGGCCATGTACCAGCATATTGTAAGTAATTTGTCAAAATGAATCTACTTGCAACCCATCCTATACCTGATTAGATATAAATGAATAGCTCTTCTATCCAAGGGTATACAATATTATTAGGCAACGTTCAACAATGACAACCACGGGTCAAATTACATTACTTCCTTCGGGATTGGCATGAAAATCTATCAAGAAAACTAAATTATCCATGTGACAAGTTTTTGAGTCTCATTTTGTGGGCTACAGCCGTCTTAGGGATTGGAAATGGTGAGTGAAATTTCTTGCAAATAAGCCTGACTCTTGCAAGAGTGACACAGTTGTTTGCAAGACTGGCATTCACATAGTAAATCTAAATCCACTCTCTATTTGTATACGTTAGAAGTAAGAGTGTGACAAAACTATCTCCTATCATCCTTGCCCCAAATCTTAGTACTTACTCCGGTGCCTCATAACTTTAAAATGGTGTACTCTAAAATGATTAGAAAGCATACAGCTTTTAAGTAGGAGATAAATATTTTGACTATATAGAATATAACCAAGGCTATATGCATTTCAAATCATCTGTCAGCATTTAAAGTATTTTCTGTAAACAGCTGTCAGAATATTTATATTTAACACATTATAGATAACATTTCTCTCACATAATAGATGCAAAACTCTTTTTGGTAATAATCTGGTCAAGCATCCCTGCTTCTCTACTTCCTTGGAAACCTGGTGGACCTTAATTTGTAAAATGAGTACTGTTAGAAGGATAGAATGAAATACTTTACGTTAAGTGCTTAGCACAGAATTCAGAACCATTAAATATTTAAGTTTTATTGTTGCTACCACCATGTTACTAGCCATATCCAAAATGCTTAGATTCTGCTCCCAGATCTGTAATTCATCAGCTGTATCATGTTGAGGAAATAATTTAACTTCTTTGAGACTCAGCTAGAAAATGGGATGACAATCCTTATTTTGCTCATCCTATAGGCTTGGAGAGAAGACTAAGTGCATTGATATTTTTGAAGGTGGTTTGCAGGTGGCAATGGGTTATATAAATGTAAAGTATCATTACAGTTGTTGTTCACAAAAAGCCCTGTACTCAATTTTGACATTTGTTTAAAGATTTCGGTGACTATTTGCTTTTCTTTTGCATTAGTTGGAACAGAGAGAAGGGCAAGCAATGGCTACAATTTCCCACGTACCATACAGGTAGGAGCAGAGTTTATTCATAGCTCGTACATTTAGTTCTGATTTTCTTTCCATTTAATTCTGTACATGCAGCCTGTTGGTCAGAGTTGTTAGAAGGAGATCAAAGCACCTGGTGGTTAGTTTACAGATGCTGCAATTAGGCCCTTGCCTTATGAAGTAAGTTTTTTCAGTTGGTCACAACACAGCCTGGCAGCCTACCCGTTGCCTCTTTGTAGTGAAAAGAAAATAGGGTCCTAAGTGGTTATAATTTAGGGAGAGGGGAATAAAGTGTTTGTTGTGATCAATAAAGTCCATGAAATACTGAGCAGGGAAATTGGAAACAACAACAACATGGATAACATCCCCTGTCCTGTTCAGACTTGTAGTCCAGCTCTCCCTTGAACACTGATTTTTATTGTTGATCTGTTGGTGGTACATGATGAAGGACTTACTGTATAACTAACGAAGGCTCATAAAAAGGTCACTGAAATGTTTAAGGTTCTGGGACAGTGGCTCTGTTGTAAACAAGAGGAGAGGTTTAAAAAGAGGAGTTCTCTTTAGATTGGAAATGCAAAAGCTGAGAGGAGATAGGCTCCAAATGGAATGGGTAGGAATGGGTAAGAATGGGGAGGGACTTCACCACATATAGATCAGGAGAGAGTGTGGAAGGGTTTAAATTGGACAAAGAGGGAAGTTTTGAATAAGGATATTTAACTTTCAACAATCAGCAGAAAACTCAAGTGTCTTCTTCAAAAAGCTGCATGTACAAATGGAAATGGGGGAAAAAAAAGATATAGGTAAGTTTGTGAATCTGGAAGCTTCTGCCTAATAAGTATTAGAGGAATTTAGAATGTTAAGGACTGTACTACAGAGGTTTAGGTCAAGGATGGCTCTATTCTTTTATTTTCCATTAAGTGTATTGGTACATTTTAAGTATACAGTACAGTTACATTCATCATTGGGAACTTGTACCTTTACGTGATATATCCTTGTTCTTATTTTTCCCCCTTCCCCTGCCCTCCCTTCACCCCCTCCACCCTTCCCTATTTGCAAAGACTTTGTTTCCATTTTTTCCTTTTCTCATATTTTTTCTTTTATAACATAGCTTTTAGTGATAGAAATATTGGGTGGGTCACTGTGACTGAGGCAAACATCATCTCCTTAAAATTCATTTCCCGCTTCTGTAGTATGCGAGTAAGAGCACTAACTACTTACTGTCATGAAGATAAAATGAATCAAAGTATGTGGAGCAAGAGCCCTACAAATGTTAGTTACCATTATTGTCATTAGTATTCTATTATAGAAATAAGCCTTCTTCAGAACGCATCTTTATAGACTAATTGGCATGTGCCTATTTCCCTTATTGCACTAATGATGAAGAAATTGGAGACTAAAAAGATAAAAGATTTTCTCTGAAATAATAAATCTTGAATACTTCAGCTTCTCTATTAATTATTACAAACTCCTAGAGAAGTCTCATGGCTAGTCAGTTCAACATAATACAAATGTTGCTGATCATTCTTTTGAAAATAGGTATTGAGTTGTCTAATTTTGTTATGAGAAAATTCATCAGAAGATCCAAATATCATCATTTCTTCAGACTTGCTTCTTAATTGCATAAAATTTTTGACATTTATGGGCTACTAGTTAAGGCAACTATACAGAATTTCAAAACTGTAGGCCAAGTTGCATTCTGTTGACGTAACTGCAACATTTTCTTTTTTGTCTTACTTCTTTTAGCTGTGCTTGTCAGGCCATCATAAAGGCTAGCTCCTCTCTGGCATCCAGGGAATTGATCAGAAGGGTCAGAAATAAAATACATGGAACCCTCACACATGGAAACTTCACACAAGATGAACTGATATTATTGGTAAAGTCTGATCACGTTGTAGTGAGAAAGCTAGGTAATTATTCTGGTGGGGTTATTTCAGTATGAATTTATTTCCATTATTTTAAACTCATAATGCATTCATACTAAGGAATTCTAAGTTCAGAGGGAAGAGAAGTGGTCTTTATGATCCTTTCCACATTCACAGTTATGACTGCACTGAATGACCTTTCTACTTTTAAGGGCTCATAAAAGAACAGTGTCTGAGAGTTTACAAGAGACTGCTGGCCAGTTGTGGATAGTGCCTGTTAGCAGTGGCAAGTTCATCCACAGAGTTGGAGGACTGTTTCTCTTGCATAAATACCCAAAGAGCTGGAGAGCTTCCTTATACAAAATACTTGCCCAACAGATACTATTTTATTGATTGATTTTCAGCCATCCTATTTATCTTGGCAAGTGATTTAGAACTGTCCCAGATTTCTCTCATGAGCATTTTCTTTTCTGATTAGAAGGCCTTTAATGGTAAACGAGAAAGGTAGGCTACCACTCCACTCCACCTCCTCCCCATTGCTGTCAGCTTTGTTCTTTTTCCCCACTTTGCGTAAGCCCAGACAACATGCATAGGCATTTCTAATGCTCTGCAGCAAGCTAAATAAGTAGCAGAGGGCAGGCTGTGGTTGCATGAGTGTGAGAGTGTGGCGAATGCAGACAAGTGTGGAAGCCACAGGCAGAGCCCACCATGTAAACGATACCAAAAAATGTGGGATGGCTGGGCTTCTTCTTGGGCCACTCTGTCAACACCTAAAGGTGGAATTTTCAGGATCAGGGTCACACACCCACTGGGTGCTCTGTTGAATTGGGAACTTATCACACAGACTTAGCCCAGAGTGCGTCTCTTGCAATGTGACAATGCCTCACACCGCAACCTTGGCCTAGCAGCATTCTATGGAGGAATCAGTCTGGTTCTTCAGCACCCATATCAGAAATAGAGCTTCCTTATCTATTTTGGTCATGGCAGGTCACTGAATTTACTAAAGCCACACTCATTCCAGAGTCCATTAAGCAGGAGGTGACCATTCAAGAAGAGAAGTGGGCCTAGAGTCTCCTGTGTATTCACATCAAACTGATAATAGTGGGTACTTTGGAAGAAGGGAAATTGCCAGGTTCTAATGTTTTCCTCTAACACTGCTCTGGGTGGCTGGAATTCTCCCCAAAGAATATATACCATTAAAAAAAATACTCTCCTGTCAACTAGTGCTTTTAATGAAAAGAATCTAGCTTGTGGTTATATTGTGTAGCTTATTTAAACAAAAAGATTCCAGTCTTTTAAACAAAAGATTTTTAAACAAAAAGATTCCATATTTTCAGTGAAGCCTGGTTTATATAGCCTGTTGGAAATAGTTTCCTCTTGTATTTGCTGATGTTTGTGTGCAGGGTAATAATGATGGGTCTATAATGGATTTTCATGATATTTTTAAGTATCTTTTGCCCTTGAAAATGTGCATACATTTTCTCTGTAGAGCCAGGAAAGTGCAAAGCCGATGAAACACCCTCTAAATACAAAGGGACATATAAGTGGCTATTAACCAACCCTACTGAGACAGCTGAAGCTAGATGCATAAAAAATGAGGATGCAAACGCCACTAGAGTCTGGTATGTACTGGCCAAGTTCTAATTGCTAGCTCACATACACAAAGATCTGCTTAGTTGTTGGAAATATGTGTCTATGTCATTTGTCTGAGCATATTCCTTTCCTTCCACCTCTACTGTTAGCTTTTCTTTCACCATTTGGACTTAAGCATATACATGCAAAATAGTAAGAAAAAACTTAAAGAAAGCAAAAAGAGAAAAGTCACCCCTAATCTCACTACCCGAACACAGCTATTTTTAGGCTGGCATTTTCCCCATCTAACCTTTGTCTGTGTGCTTTTAAGTTTTCTGCAGCGGGAATCATGGTTCTCATACCAATAAAGTAATTTACCCTTTCACTCAATGGTTTATCAAACATTTTCCATGTTTTGCATTCATCTTTTTAATGATCATTTCAAAAATCAGCCTGAGATGCTACCTCGTTGATGGGCCATAATAATTTACTAAATCATTCTTCTATTGTTGACTTTGTCATTTCCCTTTTTAAAATCATCAGCCCTCTCTTCTTACTCTCTGCTGTTAATGGTTTATGCCATTAACTTAAGTGGGCAAGAGCAGAAGGCCCCAGGTTTTGAAAGAGGCTTAAAAGCACTCCGTTAGAAAGCCACGCTGCCGACTGCATCCCACCTTTCCCTGCCTGCACCTAATCAGCCAGCAAGGCAGGCAGCTTTGGCGGCCACAGTTGGAGCTCACACAGAGCCTCTCTTTTCCAATCTCACTACCTGGCGCAAGCCCTTTTCTAGCTCTTACCTACAATTAGAGCAGTCCCTTTGCCCTTTACCCATCCACTACCCCCCTCTATTACACGCTGCTACCAGCATTGATTTTCCAAAGGTCTGGATGCCATCTCATCATTCATCTGCTCAAAAATGAAGTCCAAGCCCCCAAATACAGTCCTCAAGCCTCCAGCCTAAAAGACTATTTGTTATTCCAGCCCCAATGGGCACTTCCTTTGATTCTTTCTCTGCTTGTGCAGTTTGCTCTGCTTGGAGAGGGGGCAAGGAGTGGGGTGAGGGATAGGTGTCTCTGTCCTTTGGGCACTAGGCTCAGTTCAAATATTTCTGAAAGTAAGTTCTCCTTGCTTGGTGGGTTGATAGGTTCCGTTTTGTTTCTATAGCTTTTCTTCTCACTTTTTGTCTAATTTTAGAGAAGTCACAATTAGACTAAAGCCACTGGATTGCAAGCTCCCCAAGGAGGGCTGGGACCCTGCCCTGTTTTCCTGTGCTGTCTGTCACTGTTTGGGAGCACAGTGGTACTCGAGGAGCTCGCTGCCAGACTTGAACTGGGTTGAGCTGGATGAGGCACAGGGGAGGGGTGATTATGGGGGCCGTGAGCTACAGCGGTTTCTATACTAATCACCTTGACAAAACTGATATGTTGAGCGAGAGACGGCATAAGGGGAAACTGAGGGTGTAGAGTCATGTCTAGAGAGCCAATACCTCTGCCTTGGCTCTTGGTCAGCTGGATGTTGCCATGCCCCCTCCCCAGCATTCATGTCTGTTCATCACCCCACATTCTAACCCGAGATCCACCTGCCCTCCAGGAGCAAAGTGTTTTGCACTTTATACAGAGGGACTGGGCTCCCACTGTGCTATCTGGGAATGAGGCTGGGGTGAGAAAGGAGGAGGACTACAAAAGATAGACCTACTTCTTCACTACTTGCTTTAACACTATCCTTGCCTCCTCCTGCAATGAGAAAGCTGAGGGATGCCTATAATTAGTCCCTTCTCTCTTTTTCAGTTCAATCAACATCCAAACAGGCAAATCTCAGTGGGAAAAGCCAAGATTTAAGCAATGCAAGTTGCTTCAAGGACTTCCTGATAAGATTGTGGATCTTGCTAATATTACCATAAATGACGGTAAGATTGTTTCGTACACATTAGAGAAACAATGAAACTTCAGTTAGATTGCCCAGTTGACCCGAGACCAGAGAGAATACAGGCAAATAATAATCTGGTTTTAGAAAGTAAGTAGTTAATGTTGGTGGAGTTGATGGGAGGCATGAATTAGGGCTATCGGGAATTTTGTTTTGTTTTATAAGATTTTACTAATTTTTATTTCCCATCTCAATTTTTAAAAGGTTTAATAAGTAATACTTTATATAGCTCAACATTAGCACCCAATGATAAATGTAAATGTATTGTATACCTACAATGTACCAATAAAAGAATTTAAGCAAAAAAAAAAAAAGCAAAGATGACATATAGTGAACATCTTCCTCCCACACGTGACCCCATCATCCAGGTACTGTCCACAGAGACAAAGGACCCATTTATGAGGGTATATGCATACACACCCTCCATCCCTTTCTGCATACAAATTGGAGCATGCTGCACAAATCGCCAAGCATCTTACTTTTTTCTCTTGACAACATATTGAAGAGATTATTATGTCATTAAGTAAAGAGCTTCTTCATTCCCCTCCCTGATTGTATTATACTACATGGATGTACCACCAATTTATTTATTTACTCATAAGTTATGTATTAAATCAATTTTAATAGATCCACAAAAACATAAAAGTTGTACATATCAATGGAGTACACACCATGTAATTGCATAATGTTCAAATCAGGGCAATTATATCGGCTCCTCAAACATTTATAATTTCTTTGTGGAGAAATTATTCACAATCATTTTATCTAGTTGTTTGAAAGACACGGTATGTAACTGTTTTGTGGAGTCACCCTGCTGTGCAGTAGTGCACCAGAGCTTCTTATACCTGTCCAGTGGCAGTGTAGTACCCATTGCCCACCATTCCCCCAGCTCTTTTCTCCCTGAGAAATGTTCCAATTTATTTGAGCTGTTTCCTATGTTTATTTAGGTTTTGCTAGCATTTTCATTAACAATACTATTATAAAACTATATATATATATACACATATATATGTATATATATATATTTTTTTTGGGGGGGGTACCGGTGATTGAACTCAGGACCTTGCACTTGTGAGGCAGGCATGTTGTCACTCAGCTAAATCCCTGGCCCTTATTTATATCTTTTATTATAAGGAAAATAGTACAGCATATTTTAAAAATAATTTTTCCTTTCTCTTCTTTCCTTTCCCCTTCCCCTCCAACCACCCCTACCCCTTTGGACATTTCTTCCTATTTCAAATTATCAATTATTTGGTTTAATCATTTTAATCCTTATTTATGCTTTCAGTTTCTCACACTAGAGAAACTATTTGGTAGTTACACATGTGTGTCCTATTTATTTCACTTAAGACGATGGCCTCAATATGGATCTATTTAGCTATAAATTTCTCTAGTTTCTCGTTCTTTATGGCTGAGTAGTACTCCATTTTATTAAAACACCACATCTTCCTTATCCAGTTTCCAGTTGATGGGCAATTGGGCTGTTTCCAAGCTTTAGCTATTACAAACTGTGCCACTATAAACATGGGTGCACATATATTGCTGTGGTATGATTCTTTTAATTCTTTGGGGAAGATACCCAGCAGGGGAATAGCGTACAGCATGCTTTTTAAAAAACATTTTTATTGGTGCGTAAAATATTTCATATTAGCATTCTCTAAATAGCTGATAAAAAAAGTTGTCTTTCATTTAAAAATACATGCCAGGTGGAGTGGCACATGCTTGTAAACTCAGAACTTGGGGAGGCTAAGGCAGGAGAATCACAAGTTCCAAACCAGCCCGGGCAATTTAGCAACTTAGTGAGACCCTGTCTTAAATTTAAAAAATAAAAAGGACTGGGGGAGCAGTTCAGCGTGAAGGCCCTGGGTTCGATCCCAGTACCAACACTACCACCAACAGTAACAAAAAAAAGAACTTAGAGGCCAGGCTAGCTTTCATTATGCTTTATAACAAGTTGTTATCATATTCTATATTGTTAGATAAAAATGGATTCAAAATAAGGTGCATTTATTTAAACTACATGGAGAGACCAATTTTGCTGATCAAATCATGAAAGATCCAATAGCCCATTAGATAACATATTGTGTTGATGAGGGTGTTCTGAAACTGCAAGTGGGAATATTAAAAAAACACTGCTATGATAGATATCACACATATGTCACAATTTTGTGCAAGTAGGGTACACCTGAAGCACAGATTTCTCAAAGCCAAATTGCTAGGTCAATCATACTTTTGATGGTTTCAAAAATGCCCTCTGTAGGAGTTGTACCAATTTACACTCTCACTTGCAAGGCATCGAAGTTCCTGTTTCAGAATGGTTTCATCAACGTGAGGTGTTTTCAGACTTTGGATCTTTGGAAATTTGACTAGCAAAAATTGATCTCTTAATGTAGTTTTAAAACTTTTTAATGGAGATAGTCACATGTCATTTATTTAATATTCAGTGGGTTGATTTTTCGTGGATTTTTTTAGCACATTCACTAGGTTGTGTAATTATCATCATTAATTCCAGAACATTTTCATTACCCCCGAAAGAAACTCTCTGATTCATTAGCAGTCTTTCCATTTCTTCTTGCCCTTATCTCCTGGCAGACATGAATTTGCTCTCTATTTCTATGACATTCTGGACATTTCCTAATGTTTTTGAGGTTCGTCCATGTTGTGTAGTGTGTGTCAGCACTTCATTTCTTTTAGTGTCTGAGTAATATTCTGTTACGTGGCTATAATACATTTGGCTTGTTTACTCATCAATCGATGGACATTTGTGTTTTCCACCTTTTGGGTAGTATTAATAATCTGGCTGTGAACATTTATGTACAAATTATTGTGTATATGTATGTTTTCGGCTTTTATATATAACATCAAAGAGTAGAATTGCTAAGTTGTATAGTAACTCTATATATAGCTATGGGGGAACTGCAAAACAGTTTTCCACAGAAGTGGCACCATTTTTCACCCCTGCTAACACTGTAAGAAGGTTCCAGTTTCTTTACATCTGCTTGAACACTTACTACTGTCCATCTTTTAAGAATTATGGTTGGTGGTAACCCATGCCCCAACTAACACATCATACACCTTCACTCCCACATTCCCACTTCTAGTAACTTGTGCCTTCTGTCTTGGTAAGTGGCTAAAAGGTTTTGACTTTTGTTGATTTTTAAATAGAGTGTATTTGTTTAGCAGAATTTTATGTTCATGGCAAATTGAACATAAACTATAGAGTTCCTATATGTGTTCCCTGACACATGCACAGCCCTCCCCCACTATAGACACCCCACCAGAGTGATACATTTATTAGAATGGATGAACCTCCACTGGCACATCATTATCCCCCGAAGTCCAGAGTTTCCATTACTGCTCATTGTATATTCTGTGGGTTATGACACATGTATAGTGGCATGTATCCACCAACACCAAGTATTATACATAACCATTTAACTGCTGTCAAACTCCTCCGTGTTCTACACATTCATCCTTTATTCCCTCAAATCTTGGAAGCCACTAATCATTTTTTACTGTCTCCATGTTTTTACATTTTCCAGAATGTCATATAGTTGGAATCATATGGTATGTAGCTTTTTCAGGTTGGCTTCATGTACTTAGTAAGTAATATTCATTTAAGGTTCCTCTATGTCCTGTCATGCCTTGCAAATTCATTTCTTTTTTTTTTTGTGGTACCCCAAGAACTCAGGACCTTGTGCTTGCCAGGCAGCCATGGTGCCACTGAGCTAAATCCCCGGCGGGATAATTCATTTCTTTTTTGCACTGAATATTATCCTATTGTCTGGATACACCAAAGTTTATTTATCCATTGATCAACTCAAGGCAATCTTGGTTGCTTCCAGGTTTTGGCAATTATGACTCAAGCTGCTATAAACACCTATGTGCAAGGTTTTTTTATGGATGTGTGTTTTAAACTCATTTGGGCAATCGCTTCTCAGCCTTTTGGCTAAGATCAAGTATAAAGTCATTTGGGCAAACACCAAGGAATATGTTTGCTGAAATACATGATAAGAGCATAATTAGTTTTGTAAGGAGCTGTCACATTATCTTCTAAAGTGGCTGTACCGCATTGTATTACCTTCAACCGTGAAGGAGAGCTCCCATTGCTCCATATCCTAGGTAGCATTTGGTGTTGTCAAAGCTTTGGATTTTGGCCATTCTAACAGGTATGTAGGAGTATTGCATTGTTATTTAATTTACATCTCCCTAATGACATATGGTGTTGAATATCTTCATATGCTTAATTGTCCCTTGTGTATCTTCTTCGGTGAGGCATACGCTATAGACTGGATTTTTATGTACCCCCCATTCCTAGGTTGAAATCCTAATCACAATGTGATGATATTTGGAGATGAGGTCTCTGGGAGGTTGTTAGGTTGTGAAAGTGAAGCCCTCATGTATGGGATTAGTGCTCTTATAAAATAGGCCTGAAGAATCTTTATTTCCCTTTACCATGTGAGGTTATAGTGAGAAGATAGCTGTGTATGAACCAGGAACCAGAACCTCACCAGACCCTGAATCTATTTTCCTCATAGAATCTCAGTTTCTGCACAGTTCTTCAGGCATGGCTCTACTATATAGGTTGGGTCTCTGCCATAATAAATTGTCAGATGGAGGCACAGGTACTCTAATGCCTCGCAGTAAGGCCAGGGAATTGGCTTGGAGGCAATGGACTTCTCAGACTTGTCTTCCTTGCACAAGATAAAAATTTGAGGTCCTTGTCAAGGAATATCTAGAAGGATTAGGGGTTGAAGGGAGAGCAAGGGAATGGGAAAAAAATAAGAACCAAGATGGATTATGTAAAGGTGCAAATTTCCAATGATGAATGTCATTATATTGTATACCTTAAATGTACCAATATAATTAATTAAAAAAAAGAAAAGCAAATCCAACCCTGATGGTTCCTAGATTGGAACTCATGATTCAGGGCAGTAGGGAGTATTATAGCTTGTAGCAAGTGGGAGGCAAGATGAAGAGGTC